CTCTCTCTCTCTCTCTCTCTCTCTCTTCATTTAGTAAGGGTTGCCTGTATAAGTGTGGGTGGGGGGTTATTTACTTGAGCAGTAGCAATCTACGAGTGGCTATACCAAGGGAACTGTGGCCCCCTTTCTCCCAGCAAGTGTTAGCTGCCTCTGGCTTTTTTTGGGGAGGGATGGGGCTGTGTGAACATCTCCCCATCCATGCTGGAATGTTGGTGGTCCAGTCTTATCCCTCGGGTACCCACTAAGGCCCTGTATCCACAAGACACTGTTTCAAGGTACTCCTTCCTGTTCTCTCCAGTATCTCACATCCTTTATGCCCTGTTTTCTGCAGTACTCTCTGAGCCTCTGAGGGAGTGACACAGATGTCAATTTAGGGATGAGCACTGACAGTTATTCTCAGCACATTGTGGGTCTTCTATGCGATTCCAGGATGTTTTGTCATCATGGCTCTGCAGAGTGACTTGAACTCAGGTGTGCAGACTCTGCCCCCAGCATATACTCAAGATGGTGCCTTCCAGAAAGGCACCAGAGTGCTTGCTCTGGGGCTCACAGGCTTGTGCCATAGTTTGATCACATATGAGCTGTGTCACTTTGGACAGGTACCTCTGTCTCTCTGAGCCTTCCTGGCCTCAGGAGTTCTTTGCAGGACAGTAAGTGCCCTGCCTGTCAGTGTTGCTGCCCAGATCTTGCTCACTTTAGCATCTGAGGACTGTTTAAGAGGACATATAATAGGGGACAAGTAGGGGGTCCTTCTCCAGACCTGGAATTTGGTTCTATCCTCAGAGAAGTAAGCGAGCCAGGCAAAGTGAGTAACTATCTGTCTTCTGATGCACAGAGACAGTGTACCTGCCTGGGTCAGGGGTCACTGGGTCAGAACTCAGTGTTTTTCCCAGTGGTCCAGGGCACAGGTAGCTGGATGCAATTGTGGGAAGAAATAGTAGGGGAATAGTGAGACAGGGTGACAAAAACACAGCAGCCACGTGGCTGGGTGTCAAGGTCTAGTTGAGGGCATTTTGGACCCAGGAAGAGAGACAGAGGGATGAGTAGGAAGATCTCTTTTAGGAATGTCTAGAGGTGAACTGGAAGCGTATTTATTTTATTAGGTGTGTGTTCACGTGAATGTATGTCTGTGTGCACGTGTGTGTATATATCTCTGTGTGTGCATGTGAGTGTGTGTGTAGGTTGGGGGCAATGAGTCCGTGTGAGTAAGCACCTGTGCCATAGCACATATGTGGACGTCAGAGGACATTTGGGAGTTGGTTCTCTTCTTCTACAGTGGGTTCCAGACATTGAACTCAGTTTATCAGACTTGTGAGGCAAGTGCTTTTACCTGGTGAACCATCTTACTAGTCCTGAAAGTGTGTTTAGCTGTTCTCCAAGAGGATGTGAGCGAGTTCTGATGCTTCGCAGATATGGAAACCCAGGCCTGTTGCAGCAATGTGAGCTTGCATGTTAACCCAGATGGTCCAGAGATGCATAGCCAAGTTCCCGGCTCTTATGTGCTGGAGCCTGCTCTGAGCCATGCTACCACATCCCAGGGATAGAGGACCACCTGCCTAAAGGCTCATGGCTGCTGATTCCTTGACCACGGAAGCTGATGCTAGCCAGGAGCTTGCTGTCATGCTGCTCCTCAGTTATCAAAGGCCACACTTCACCTGGTGGCACTGGCTGTTCTCCATGTGTCATTATATTCTGTTTGTCCATTAGCTATTCTGGGGGAGCCTGTGGCTGGGGGTAGCACTGACAGACAGACCTCAGTACAACTGCTCTGAGGCCTGGGTAGGACATTGTTGTGACATTTGGGTGATGACAAATATATTTCTTGTCATTGGAGGATTGTCTCGCATTGGTAATTGTCATTGTCGTGGCTGCTTTTCAGTATTTGTGGGGACCAGTCTGA